GTGAAAAATCTATTTGGAGGCGGCCTCCAGTTTCGGTTCCGGCATAAATCAAATTAATTGAAATTAATGGTTCACCGGTACATCATCGCAGTGGAGTGTTGGAGGAGTGCGCCCTCACGCAAATATTTGCCCAACAAATTTCCCTCTTATTCTTTCTCCGTCCTGGTTTTCGGTTGGTATTTGCCCTGCCAGGAGGAGGATTGGCGAAGGATTGGTGTAGGATTCCATTGACCATTAGGTCTGTGCGCCCGCTCTCTGTGGCCCACTAATTATTTTGGCTTACACCCGGGCCCCGGATCCGGGCGACCAGCGTTAATCCCTTTGAAGCCAAGCGGTGGAAAAAAAGGGATAAAGCAAAGGGATTCGCCAAGGGTTTATGCGGATAATTAATGCGATATCTGATGTGACTTCTAATCGCAGCCATGGGATTGTTTATGCAAATTTAGCTGGGCCGAAGAATGGAAATGGATACAGGGCTGGTATTGGGCTGCAGCATTCAACAATTGGCTTTAAATTACAAAGGGAATAGGTTGGAGGTCATAAAAAAAAGCTTATAGAATATTTTTTCTGGATATATTTATCTTAATTATGTATAATTTTAAATTAAATACATAATTTTGTACTACAATTTCCCAGAAAATATTATAGAAGTACACTTTTTGTTCAATACAAATTTCGCTGTTTTTTTTCATTATATATTGTTTTATTTTCTATTTTATTTCTCCTTTATTTAATTCCTTTTAATTATTTAAATAAAATATTTATGGACACACCGGGAATCACTTTTTTTCGAAAAATCGGATCCCCTGTTCGCGTTTTTGTCCCACGCATAAACGATCTATCGGAGCGGCGGCTGCACATCCCTTAGACCGGGTCTTTATTTGAACTTCAAAGGAGAGAGCGTTGGAGAAATTAATGAAATGTTTGTCAAGTGCGGTTTTTCGGGCCACCCATTCCTCTTGGACCCCGATGCCCGCTTTATTTGAGTCATTAAAATGATTTAATAAGGCCGTAAGCCGCCAGCCGAAAGTCCATAAACCGATTTGCCAAACGAAGAGGAGACAGTCGACAGGCGACTGTCGAAACGCAGTTCCTCAGTTAACTAAACTCAGGTCATTATATAGTTATGTCGGGGACGGTATCCGTAGTTGGGCCAGAGCCGGACGCACCCATGAATAATGAATAGAGCCTACAAACAGATTTTTGCCGCTTTGCTGCTGTAATTCCTGGTCAAAATTTACATATTCAGCCATTCATGAGTGTGGAGGGAGGCCCGCTCCTCCATTCGAATTCAAATTCAAATTCATATGCCATAATGGGCAGACATATGGAAGGCATTAGTCGGAGGCGTTGCTGTCCCTCCCAAGGGGGCGTGTGGGCGTGGTCTGCGGCGGGGGAGTGCCACAAAAACATCGCATTTTCCAATCAATTGAATTTCAATTTGCATAATTTTCTGTATGTCAATGTAATGTATACAAAATTCGATTATTTCCATTGAATTGAGCCGAAGACATGGCAGAGAGTGGTCTCCAAAATCGGCCAAAGGACGGACCCTCAGAAGCGCTCCTTCAATTTCTCTGACCAGACACACACACACGCACACACAGAGAGAGAGAGAGAGAGAGACGATAGAGGAGGATAGTGGATATTGAGGATATTGAGGATATGGGAATATGCTAACGCTCTAATGGGTGTGTCATGGAGTGGACAAACATTATTGCAGAATTTATTTCTATTCTGCCCTCCCACACACACACACACAGGCAGACAGACACACACACAGGTCACACACAGGTCGCACACAGGTCACACACATTGTGACCTCAAAGTAACCCGAAACTGGCAAACGGAATATACATATCCAACAGATACAAAAGGCAGGACTCGAAGAGAGACTCTGGATTTCTGTGAAAAACGTATCCAAAGCGGGAAGGCGGGAAAGCGGAAGAGCGGGAGAGCGTCTAAAGAAAAAAACCGAGCAATAAAAGGCACGGCCCTGAAATGCTCGCACCGATTCAGTTCCAGCTCGTTTCAGCTCTGAAAAACTATCAGAAATTCCATAAAAAGAAAACAAGAAGCAGACCGAATCGTAAACAACTTGTGGGAGAATAGTTCGAATGGGTAATGCTCTTAAGATAAAGAGAGAATACGATTATGAGACAAAAACAAGCAATAATTATGAACGATAATTCATCATGATATATCCTCTGATATTTCCACAACAAAACCATCATGGAACACAGAACTAAAGAACTAAAGTCCTTTTTAATTTCTCCATCATTTTATGTCTCTTTTTTATGGCATTCTGCACTTTTGCTAAGAACCCTTCAAATAATTGTATTGCTTCCGAAGACACTCCATAGCTAAAGTACTCCAAGGACACTCTGCACTGTGCGTGTGTCCTTTTTGAGCATTTTACACGCCCACATGGCTGGCAGGAAAACCTTTTGAGGGAGCACAAAAAAATCAAATTGGAAACGACTCCGAGACAACAAAAAAAAAGGGTTCAGAGATGTATTTACAGCCGGGTGTCAGGACTCGCCCGCCGGCACTCCCCTTTCGGCACTCTTCCAGACTTGGGTTCTGTGGCCGTCTACTGGGAAATGCAGAGAACACGCAAAACCAGCCCGCAGCAGACAGAGAGTCCTGCTGAAAACTGCCCCACGAAACAATAAAAAAAATACAAAAAAATGTGCACAAAATTCAAGCAGAAGTTCCGCGTGGGACAGCCGCAAGATACAAGTTTGTGTCCGTTTCCTATTGCCACTCACTGGATTTTTTTGTTGGGTGGTTAGGGGGTGTTGTTGTTGTTGGTTTTGTGGGTGCGCGTGTCGTAAAAATTTAATTAAAAAATAATTTTGACAACAATAAAAATCAACGCTTGGAAAGTCCACTCTCCCGATGATGACAAAAGAGAACCAAACCAAACCAAACCGAACCGAAGCGAACCGCAGGCCAGCACTAATGATTAAGCATACGCCTCGAGGGACAGAGCAAATGGTGGGCCGCCTCGCGATTTTGCGGTTTTACTGTTGCTTTGCTCGAATGATTGCCCCGCCCATTAACTGGGCCCAAATGTGCGAGTTATGTGCATGAAACAGCGGGCCATTTATGGCCATTTATTGTAACGCTCTCGCTGGCTGTTGCCTCTGATGTTTCTTTGGCTTTGGCTTTGACTGTGGCGGGATTTGAAGCCGCTCTTCCACGATACGTTTTTCACATGTTTCCCGCATCCTTTGAGTGCTTTTTGGGGGAGAAATTAACCATCGCCGACCAAGGCATCGGTTAGCAGCCGGATTTTGGCACCTCTGGCACCGCTCCTTTTTCCTTCCCCCTCCGCTCTTTTGTGTCAAGCTGAGGGAAATTATGATGACGACTTTTTATGGGCCCCCAAGCCATTGTCCTGGCTCTGGCTGTGGCCCCTCCCAGCCATTGTTTGCTCCAGCCCATCCCTTCTTATTGTCCGCCTGACAGCTGAAGCGGTCCGCCCCGCCTGCCTGGATGTCCTTGCGCCTCAACACTGCCCTTTCTCTTGCGAGTCAATAAAAATTCAGTAAAACGTTCTCGACATAGGCTCAAGGATTATTATTGCTACTTTATGACAGTTTATTGTGTGTCTGTGTGTGTTTGTATCTGCACAGATTTAAAAGGTTGTATACACACAGACACAGAGACGAGTGGTCTATGGTGTCGGGGGCTGGGGGCGGGGGGGGCTGGGGCTCCTGCGTAACACGAAGTAACTTGTGTCCTGACAACCCAACTTGTAAAGTGCTCGAGACGCAAATTGCTGGGGCCCCATGTCCGGAGACCCAGCAACAAAGTGGAACATTTTGTACTCAATTTCACAGATAATTGAGGGGCCCAAAAGCAGAAGAAACACTACAAACAGAAAGAGCCGTACCTAAAAGAAGTATTTTCAGTTGAATTAAAGCTCCTTCCATCGATTTCAGGAGGGAATACATATCCAGAATCCAGAATCCCGAATCCCTTGTCATCTTCCAATTTCCCCCCTCTGCAAAAACATCCTCCAATCAAATATTCAGTTTGACAAAAACCAACTTCTTTTTTGGCTCTAAACCAAACGACAACAAAGGGATTTCCCCCCAAGAAAACTTTTGGCCAACAAGAAGTGCAACCAAAGTCGGAAGCTAATTATATGGCAACAGAAGGGTTTTCCAGGGGGGGGAGGCAAAAATCTGCCGTTAGACAAAGCCTCTAACCCCAAACAAACTTTGCCTCTGACTTTTGGCCCAATTATGGCCACGTTTCAATGTCGAGTCGTAAAAATTTGCATATTTCCAAAGCTTTTTAATGTTTTTTTGTTTGCCGTTGCCCGCCACAGGGGAGGGGGGAGGGGGGAGGGGACCAACACGTTGACACCTTCGTTTTCATTCGTTTCCCGGGGGCAGGGGGGCAGGGGGCAGGCACGGGGGACACGGAGGTTGACCAGAAAAGAAAACTCGCTGCTAATTGCGAGTGTCGAGAGGCTCAAAGCAAATGGCTTAATTACGTTGCTGTTTCTAATGCCGCTGCCGCTGCTGCTGCTGCCCCAAAGGTCAGTCGAGCACAAAAGTTCATTTGCATAATTTGGCGGGGTTTTTAATTTGGTTCGGCACAGCATTTCCCACGTAACATTTGCATAAACAGAATCTACAGTCGACGGTTGGGGCAATCAGCAGGAGTCCCCCCCCCCCCCGCGACGACAAAAAAACATATTGGAGCCCAAAAAATCACTGCAGCACAAACACCAAAGCCAAGGCTCGCAAAACTTTGCAAATCACATCTAATATAATAATTACTTAAATAAGAAAATGAAGGAGCTGAGACTCGGCAGCAGATACCCTGCAAAAGTGACTCGTTTATTCCGTTTTATTCAAAAACTTAGTCACTTGCGATTTAAATATTATCAAGTATTATTCATACGTTACGGAGATCTAGAAAAAGGACAACCAAAGCGTCGTTTCGTGTGTGTTAATTGTAAATTTTTTGGAAAATCCATTCGAAATGTTTCGCGGGGCTGACGGTGACGCCTCGAAGAATATGGACCAGGTCCAGCTGAAGAAACCGACAGTGCCCTCGAAGGAGGCTGCCCCGAAACGTGATGTTCTGGGCGCTCTACAGAACTGCGGGGCCATCGTGAAGCCGTCGACAATCATTCGGCCCGCCAAGTTATTGGCCGGCATCAATGACATCGACGCCAAGGACGGGGGGAGCCTCGTGCTCGTCTCGGAGTATGTCAACGATATCTACGACTATCTGTACAGGCTGGAGGCCGAGCAGCCGATCCGCAAGAACCACCTGGCCGGCCATAGCGAAATCAACCACAAGATGCGGGCCATTCTGATCGACTGGGTCAACGAGATGCATTGGGGGTTCCAGTTTACGGCCGAAACCTTCCAGCTGGCCGTGGCCATCATCGATCGCTATATGCAGGCCGTCCAGAACACGGAGCGCAGCAACCTGCAGCTGGTGGGCGTGACGGCCCTCTTCATTGCCGCCAAATACGAGGAGATGGTCCGGCAAAAAATTAAAGACTTTGTCTTCATCACCGAAGGAACCTACTCGGCCAGTGAGATCCGCGCGATGGAGCTGCAGATCCTCCGGGCCATCGATTTCAATCTGTCGCGTCCGCTGCCGATTCACTTCCTGCGGCGCTACACAAAGGCCGCTGGGGCCCACCATGAGCACCACATCATGTCCAAGTATTTTGTGGAATTGGCTTCAGTAGACTACGATTTGGCCAGCCGCAAGCCATCAGAGGTGGGTTCTCGGCACACACCGATCTCAATCATGTATCATGCCACAGTGCCGCTCATGCTGCTTTCAGGTTGCTGCTGCTGCTCTGTTCCTGTCGCTGCACTTGCTCAATGCCAACCACCGGGCCGGCACTGGCTTCAACGACCAGCTCTGGACACCGACTCTGGCCCACTACTCCCGCTACACGGCCGCCCACCTGCGGCCCATCACGCGGCAGATCGCCGAGCTGGCGCGCGAGGCACCGCAGGCGCAGCTGCAGGCCATCCACAAAAAACACCAATGCTGGCAGTTCTTTGAGATCGCAATCAGGCCCGAGCTGAGCGGCCCCCTGATTAACTCCATTGTGGGCCAAAAGAACTACTTTTGTGACTCCCCAAATGTTTAAGTTTTGATTTTTTCTTCATTTTTTTTTCAAATTTGTAGCATATTTTATCGTTTTTACTACTTATTTGTATTTCAGTTTAGGTTTGTTTGGAGATGGTTCGCTCGATCAATGCTTTAAGAACAAATATATTATAATATCAGTCCAATGTTTATCACATCCAAATATCCATTCACTACGAATCGATTACATCTGTGAAGGCAGTTTTTAGGCAGTACTCAAGTATTTCTAGGATTTCCCTCAAAGCAGTTTTGCTTAAGGGAAAACTCGACAAATTGCTACCAATTTAGCTCCGGCTAAAAGCTAACTGGAGACTAGCATAGTATCCATGGATATCCATTAAAGTCGGAGAATCGTTTTGCTAGAAAATATTTACATAAAAGTTTGGTTTTTTTTCCCATGTTTTAACATTTTTGTTGTGCGGCTATGGTTATTTGCTCATCAAATTAGTTTTCTCGCACACGTTTTCAATTTTCGACAAACGCTAAAAGTTTCTTGCCACGCACACACACACACACACACACGAGGGGTGGCAGAGATGTTTACCTGCCCACAAATGCGTGAGAGTGCGGGGGCCGAGAGGCGCCAAAGAGCATGTCAATTGTGGAGAGTGTTTGAGTATTTTTAGGAAAATTTAAATAAACCGGTAAACACCTCACGAGAATTACAATCGAAATTCCTGTAATGCAAACACACACACACGCCTGCAGCACACACAGATACACGCATCCACAAACAATAATGAGAGATTCTGGCTGTGTGCTGAGATGTGCATAAATCAGCTGTGGGCAGTGGGCAGTGGGAGGGCGTCCCGTGGCAAGTGTTGCCAAAAACATCATTGTATTGGTGGCACTCTCATAATTGGCAACTTCCTTTTTGACATATTCCCAACGTATTCCCTCCCCACAGTTATTTGGGTCAAACAACAATTACAGCATCAAATGTCTCCCCCTCCCCCAGCAGCCTCCCTGCCCGCCTGCATTTGGCATTGCGTATACGCAATGGAATCCACATATCAGATCTGTATGCACATAAAATATTTGCGTATGGGCTGCTGATTATTTCGGTTTGTTTATGAGCTTTAATTAATTGTATCTGCATTTAACTCGAATTGTTTCTATGCGTTTTTTGGTGTGTTTTTGTTTGCTCATTTGTGGGTTTAATTATTGGCCAGCCAATGGATTGTTTTCAATAAGGGATTAGAATGGATAATTTGTCAAGTTGCAACAGTGCGTATGATTGATGTATTTATTAGAGCCTAAAATGATTCAAGGAAATGGGGAAAAGCAATGGAAAATCAGGAAGAATTCCCAGTATTTTCCATCATCATTATTTTCAGTCTCTTTTAATTGTACAATAATTAAAGGAAATTTGTATAAAGTTTCCCGCAAAAACAGTAACAGAATGGCATTTAATCCAATCTAAAGGAAAGAGAACTAAAGCCAAGGTAATATTCATACTGAGAGAGAGCCCAAGGAGCATTCATTTAATCTTTAAGATATATCTATAGAAAGTGTGTAAAGCGTAAGTCGATTGAAAGTACTAGGAATCTACGTACATATATATCAATGCCTCACATCGAAGCCATAGAATCATGGAATCACCAGATACTCATAAAAGGGTTATATTTAAATATGTATTTATTGGATTCTTTGATTCTGTGTTGCATTCTTCAATCTTTTCGGTGACAATTTCCAAATGCCGCCACCTCCACATCCGACAAAACAAAAATAGATTCCCCAAAACAAGAATTTCCACGCATTTATCCGGCAGATAGCCTCCTTATCTGCAAGATTGTGGCTTCGCGACGCGTCGTTGGCGATGGATTAGATAACAATGATCCAGAGAGAGCGAGAGGGCCCGAGTGGGAGTGGGGGGGGCTCCATCGTCCAGTATCCGGTTAGCCCCTGAGCCATTGGCAAATATTTGCATGGCTCTTGGCCCTCCTGCTGGATGGATGGATGGATGGATGGAATGGCTCTTATTGCAAACAGGCAAACATAGACGATGTTTATTTGCGGCTCTTGTTGACACAAATGTGTCATTGATTATGCACGATCCACATACATTTTGGGGGCATATGCCCGTACCACCCATAGGATATTCCTTCAAAATTTAACCCAATTTACGACAGCTTTTGTTTGGTCACGAAACACACACACACACACACACACACACACACACATTGTACAATCGTACAATATAATTCATATATTTAAAAGGCAAATATTAACCAATTGACAGCGCGAGCCGAGCCGTCAAAATATTTAGCATACGTGCTAAATAAATTTGTGCATAAATTAAACGCCAAACTTTGTTAATGAATATTTCTGGTTGAACTGTGGGGGCCAGTTACAGGCCAGAATGAATTCAGGGTTTTATATTTTTGCTGATTCATTCCGACACTAATAAGAAAACCAAATTTCGTTATATCACATATATCAAATATCATATAATTTCGCGGCACAGAACCGCATCTTTTTGGTGGCGGTCTTGAAAAATATAACGCAGCCCAGGCCATCCTTAGATACTCTACAATTGTACAATTTAGGGTAGGCTTTGTGGGGGTTTTATTTGGGAAATATATTTTATCGTAGGAAAAAAGATGTGTGCTTAAAAAACCAATTTCTTTTCTCCTTATTTCTGCAGATTTTGCAGTACAATACTTGAAGAATCTCCATACAATTTTGCACAGTTCTTCGCACTTTTAAATATGTATTGCCATGAATTTTCTTGGGATATTTCTGTAAGTAACAATTCTTCAATCTGTGGAAGAAGGAAGTACGTTATTTGATTGACATGATATTGATATTCTCCATCGAATCCCCATTTAAGGGGTACAGCATTTTCATATTTTGTACGAAAGTCTTTCAGGAATAGGCCAGAAATGGGATAAGTAGAGGATATTCCATTGGTTAGTACAAGTTTTTCCATATTTTCCACGATCATTTCGCTCAACCTTTGCTCGGAGAGTATCTCCTATCTGTTGTGCAAATACACTTTTGCCGCATTTGTTTTTGTCAAATGAAAGCCCCCCCCACCATCTACTTTGGGTAAATCCTTTAATCCTCTTATCTTGTATTATAAAAAAGAAAACAACTCATCTTATACCCTTACCTTCCTCATAATCCATCTCAAAAAGAGAACGACACCAATTTGTTAGCCCCGAAACCCAACACACACTTCACCTGGCCAATTTTCGGCTACTTTGTTGTTAATTCACACAATTTGCACAGAGTTTTTTTCCTCATTTCATTGGGAATTTGTTTGCCTCTGAGTCTCTCGGAGACCTCCCGAACTCACACCCACACACACACCCACACAGACACAAATGTCGGTTATTGTTATTATATTTCGGTAAATATTTAACCACCAATACGATGCGGCTGTTGATATTTGCATTTGAGATGTGAAAAACGAATGTGGTTTTATTTTCGTCTTTTTTTCGGGCTGCGAGGAAGGCTTATTTACATGCCTGTCGTTTTTTCGTTTTTTTTTTCTGTGATTTTCAACGAGAAATAAAATATATTTTGGCAGTGACATGCCAAAGCCGCAGTTGACATGACGCTGGAAAGTGTGACCCCGGCGATTGGCGGTGTTAGCCGTGCTAACAAATTACTTTTTTATTAGCGAATCCGGGCACATGACCGGGCCATAACGAGGCTTTGGCTCGTACCTACGTTCGTCAGGTACGATTATCAGCTAGTTGTTGATTAAACATTGGTTGTGTAAAATGTTGGTGCAAATAAACGACTGAGTTCCCTCCAGACTGGCATCATCATCGTCGTCGTCGTCACAGCTACAGGAAGCTACACACTCAACAAATGTGTACCCCTCTTTTTTGATAAGGTTTTCAGCAAATCCCCGAAGAATTCCCAGCATTACTCACCTTTAGGTCGGCTCCCCACGGTGTTCAAATATCCTCTGGGAATTGTCTGCAAAGAGAGTGAGGAAATCGTAAACCTGATTAATATGCAAATGTCAAGTGCGATATAATTAACTGCTTAACCCAGTTTTTTCTTGATTTTTTTCGTTTTGTTTTTGCCTGTTTCGTCATGTGTTTTGTGCTTCCGCCTACAAAGGGGCTTTGAGAAATGCCAAAAACCAGTTTATTGCACTTGACGTCTGTCGACTCTGAGACTCTGAGACTTCGACTCCGACTTTGACTGAATGTCTGGGATTAGGCTTTGGAATTTGTATAGCCGGTGTTTGGCGAATAAGAAGCGGATATATTACAAAATATTTATTTGTCAAGATTTGAGTGGGAGAAAGAAGAAAAGCAATCTCCTAAAAGTGTATTCTGGCTGAGAATCATCTGGGGAAGGCGTGTGGTATTCACAATTTAAGGATTATTTGGTTCCAAATTGATGGTGCTATGATTCCAATCATAAAGGCCGAGAGATGGCATCCTAGCAACCAACCGAGGGGCTCTACCGCACGCCGCGCGACATATGGTAAGCAAACGGCAGGAGCAGGCAGGAAATATCAAAATAGATTTCATTTATCAGGATTGGTAGATTGTTAGAGCCTCTGCGACCAGCCTCTGATCTCGAATAAACTTCAACATTTATATTTTAAGCTCGGATTAAACATTGAAAGATCAATGATATTCCAGCCAATTGCAAAGAAAATCATTAATCATGACGATTGAACGAATCTCAGAGAAGTTGTTCTCCCCCAAATACCGGGCATTCTCTAGTCGCAATAGCGACTGTCATCTTCTCACTTATTGGATCCATTTTCACGTAGCTCGAACCGGTTTTCCATTGGGATGCGAGGCGCAGAGTGCCGGGCGAGTGGCGTGCGGCCCAAAACTCGTAATTCAGATGAAATATTAAATTTCAGCAAATATTCAGCTGTGGGTCACTCTTTCAACAGGGGCTTAAGAGGGGTTAAAGCGGCGTCGGTGCGGTGGGGCGGAATGCAATGCAGCAAAATCGGGCAATGGGGGCATGTGGCAAGAGAGACTGGGTCACTTGATGATGCTAAGCTGCTTAGACGTTAATTGAATTAGTTTACAAGTATCGTGCC